GACACACCCTAATACAAGTTTCTTTTGCAAAGAACCCTTTTTTTCGTGATTGGTACTAAACATATGGACTTGTTAAATGTGGAAGTTGGCAATGCAAAATGAATGTCACAAGAAGTACAAGAGAGGTTCAATCGGATGAAAATAAGGAAGTGTTGGTCACACTTTCCACCCATCTCTCACTCAACGTTGTGTTGCATTAAGAGTAATAAACAACTTGCCTGCAACAATTTTGTCACCTTTTAATTTCTCATCATCACGTGATTCATGTGTTCAGAGAGACGAGTAACCAAAGAGGGACATGCAAACTTGTATCATATGTTTGCAAGGCCAAATCGGATTAATAATTCATGTGGTGATAAGTTATTCGGAAAAAAGTTTTTGTGGTAAAGCTTGTTAACAAATTTTATCCACAAGTAAGAATTCTGTCAAATATCTGTTAGGATTTAAACTCCTACCCGACCTTCCTCCCTTCTCAACCGTCTTTAACTCCCTCCTTTTCAATCAATCTAACCTTCTTTTTCTCTGTAGTCACAAGTCACCCGTAAATTCACTCAATCTATGTTTTATATTTATCAAAATTGCTACTTTTATCACATTCTTCATACCACATTTGTATCAACCTCTCTAACAAAAGTGGAGTTTACCATCACATGTGGGTCACGTTTTTGTTAGTGGGGTTTTAATCACATGTGGGTCACGTTTCTGTAAGTGCGGGCAGCCGAAATGTATGCTACTGTATCCAATTGATTGCTACAAATATAAATTCACATTTTGACATTCCTAGTTCTCCTTTGTGTTGGTCCAAGTGATTTGACTGCGATGAACATTTTGTTATGGTGGATTGCAGGAAGCAACGACGAAAGGTACATTAGAACGCACAAGAGAGCCACCCAGTTTTCAACGGTGAAGATGACAGCGAGAACGATCCCCCTGCCCGGGAATTTGAGAAGGAGCCCGCAGTTGTCCTGACAAAACGCAGTTCTCAAAGGAATACACCATTGCCAAGCAAATGTAGCGGTTCTTCATCAGCATCAACGCCCGAGGACGATGCTCAGAAGGTCATCCCTTAAGAGGGTGTTGTGACTTTTGTTTTTCGGCTTAGGAGGTCGACATATCTGCAGTCCAGAGGGGGCATTGTAAAGGAATTGTAGGGAGAGTTATTAGGCCTTCTGCTGCCGATGCTCTTCTTGTTATGAAAAGTACTTCGGTAGGGCTGTCTAACCACGTTTATATATCATCTCAAATTACGAGATCTCTATGTTTTGATCTCCCTTGATCCACGCTAATCGGACCTAATGTGAGAGCTGCCCTAGGCAGCATGCGCATCGTACTTAGACCCACCCACTGTGTAATTGACCCCGAGAGATACTCTAATGTAACATTGCAAATATCCACAGATATTGAGACCAATTTTTAGCAACATTCGTTGAACTAATGACGCTACTAAAACTATGCATTAATCTCAAGAAGGTCTCTCTACTCCTTATGTCTAGTGCCGCATACGAAAAGATAAGTAGAAAAATGACTCGTTAGACAGCTTTAGCAAAGTTTATCTCCAACTCCACTTATCCTTGTGAATGGTAGAATTTCTTCGAAACTACTTTGCTTCTTCCACAGAGAACCAAAATTCCACAAACCAAATCCACCGCATTGATCCCAAAAAAATGTTGGAAAATAAATAAAATAAAGGGATACTTTGAATGCGGTATCTAATCCTTAACATTCTTTGACTAAAACCTTAATGTTATTCAAAGTTTGATCAAAGTCTTTTGACTTTGTATACCTTATTATATTACAATTAATATTTATATTTTTATAGTTTTGACATTAATTGTTTCATATTTTATGAGATTTATAATCCTATAAATTTAAAATCTCTCATTATAATACTATTAGAAACGGTTACAATAAAAAAATTCAAACATTTTGATTGAATAAATGGACAAAAACTATGTAAAAATGAGAAATAATAAATGGCAAAAGAATGTATCCATAGTGTTAAAAAAAATTGGTACATTTCACATATAACAAAGTGGTACATTAATAAAGAAGAATGGGTACATTATAAATAAATTAGGATACAGATAAAAAAATTAAAAAATTATGAGTACAAATGAATTTTTAAAAAATATAGGCACTAAAAGAAATTAATACATGGGTACAAAATAAAACTAAAAAGAAAATACTACAAATTTAAAAAAATGTTGCAAATTAAAGGTGGGTACAAACTAAAAATATAAATATACGATACAAAGTTTAGGCATAAAACATAAATATACCATATGTAATTTTTCTATCATTGATTAAATATACAATGTCACGTGACGGTATACATATGGGTACAAACACAAATCAAACTTTAAAAAACATGGGCACAAAAAAAAAACTATTATATGGGTACAAATTAAAAATGAAAAAAACTAAAAATAGAAATATATGATAAAAATTTTAGCTATAAATATAAATATACTAATTGTAACATTTTTAACACTAAAGGAATATATTTAAAAATAAAAATATTTTATTATTCAAATAATTAATGATGTTATTAATATTCAATGACATTGATCAAAAATTAAAAATGAATAGAATTTTAATAAATGAAATAACAAAAAGAAAAATATGAATCTAATTTCTCTTAAAATAAATAAATAAATTCATCAGACCCTTTCTCCTGATTGGATGGTGCATATTTAATGTGATCAAAGTAGAAAAAAAATCAAAACAGACAATGCATTCCAGCTCACATCTGATTGGCGGGTTGGACTCGGCTGTGGGGCCCAGTCGACTCATACTTCCTCCTCTTTCCTTCTTTTCTGGTTCCCCGTCTCTGACTTCTCTTGTGAGAGCGAATGGACGAGGTGATGACGGCTGCGGATGCGACGACGTCGTCTTCGCCGTCGACGGCGGCGGCGATCCCATCGAACCTCGCTCTCCTCGCTGCGCTCCTAGCATGCGCTCTCGCTCAGTTCCTGAAGCTCTTCACCACCTGGTCAGTACAATCTCTCATTTCTGCAGCTCAATTTTGCGATTTGGAATTTCTAGGGTCAAATTGGTGTGGAATTGAGTCTTTTGTGAGTGTTTTTAGGTACAAAGAAAAGAGATGGGACTCGAAGAAAATGCTCGATTCCGGCGGGATGCCGTCGTCACATTCCGCCACGGTGACGGCTCTGGCCGTCGCCGTTGGCCTTGAGGACGGCACCGGAGGACCTGCCTTCGCCATTGCCTTTGTCTTAGCGTGCATTGTATGTACAAAAGTTTCAACCTTTTTCCTTCATTTCATGTTTAGCTGCAACGTCGCCGTTTTGGTAAACATATGTGAACGTTTTCAGGTTATGTATGATGCCTCAGGAGTGAGACTTCATGCTGGTCGGCAAGCCGAGGTAACTCTTTGAGCTTTGCGTTACATAAAAATGTAATCTTGTGTTTTTTTCGACTCGTTATGTTGTTAGACTGTCAATTTGAAAAATCGATTGGGTGGGTTTTTGTTTGGATATGTGCCTCGAGTTATTAGTATTGCACGTAACATATCAGACTGCTTGATAAGAGAATGTTTTCGCACTTGTGTGTGTGATAATCGCAAACTATTGTTGCAGTTGCTGAACCTAATTGTGTGTGAGCTTCCTCCAGAGCATCCTTTGTCCAGCGTTAGACCTCTGCGCGATTCACTTGGACATACTCCGCTACAGGTTTGTTGCACTACTCTTGATTGCTGCACATCCCTTGAGATTTGAGTATATCATTAGATTAGCTGTGTTAGCTGCATATGATTTGTTGATCCCATTCTGCATTTTGGTCCTCAAATTACCCACCAAATCGATACAGAATCTCTGATTCAACGATAAAAGGATTGTTTTTCTCATAATTCGTTTTCCTACCCCGAGAAGTAAATCAGTTGAACATGTTTTGTAAGCACTGACACGATGTGCGACATAGCTGTCTAATGATAATTCGTTTAAACGTACGCAATACTCCTCTTTCTGTGTCTGGAAATGATGTTATTTGGTAGATGTTGTTTCACCGGACAAGACTGGAGTGTTATTCATTGACCGTCGTGTATTTTTCTCTGATCACTAATAATTTTATCAATATGAAACAATCACAAGGTTTTGCTTTAGAATAATTCCGGCTAAATATCCATGCAACGTAGTTAATCGGCAAGTCTCAGTGACATTTTTCATTTGGTTTGGTCTCAGGTTGCTGCAGGTGCTGTGTTGGGATGCATAGTAGCTTACCTAATGAGTAACACCAAATAAGATACCTTTGCGACCAAATACCAATTCTTTGAGCTTCACACTAGTGGACTGTTAACTAGATGCAGTAGTTTTGGCAACGACAGAGAAAGAGCTGATGTAAGATGAACTCCTAGTTTACTGAAAGCGTGTAATGTAAAGTTGTTTAGGGAATAGGGGCCTCCACCCAAATGTTGGGGGACTTCTAATTTTTTATGGATTTGAACATTGTTCTTTTTGTGTATACAGAAGTTACGTTCACTGAATAAAAGACACCCCCTTGTGAAACTCTTGATGTTCCAGCTGATGTTCCTACTTACTTGCGCGTCAATTTTTTCTGTAATTTACCCTTGCACGCCTCACGGGCTCTTACATGACTCTCGCGGATGTGAGTAGCTGGTCCATCAACACAATAGCCTTTTGACCGTCCCGCAACTATCCTACAATGATTTAAATCAGATTAGGGGCTGGTTTGGTATTGCTGTGCTTTGAAAAAAAAACTGCTGTGGTGAGAATAAGCGGTTGTGCTGTGAGAATAAGCGGCTGTGAAATAAATCAGCAGAGTGTTTGGTAAACTTTTTTGTAAAAGTGCTATTGGAAAAAGAAAAACAGTCTGATAGTGGGTCTTTTCATTAAAGGAGCACTGTAGCTCCGTGTGCTTTGAAAAAAGGCCAGTTTTCCAAAGCTGCAAATAGCTGCTTCAGCTTTTTCCTTTGATTTCAGCTTATTCTCACAGCAGTTTCCAAAATAAGCTTTTTTTTTTTAGTTTACCAAACACCTAAAACCCTCACAGCTTTTTTTCATGGGTGTTTTTTTTTTAAGCACCTCACTCCCAAACCACCCCTAAGTTTGATTCGTCCATCATTCCATTGTGTCAAATGCTTACTCTGGCAGTGCTTGCCAAAATCTATATTATCAAATTAAAACCTACTTAATTAAAAGAAAGATAAAAAAAAGGTCGTACCCAGTGCACAAGGCTCCCGCTTTACGCAGGGTCTGGGAGAGGTGAATGTCGGCTAGCCTTACCCCCATTTATGAGGAAGGGATGCGTTTCATTGCCACTGGGTTCTAAACAAATAACAGAAATGGAGAAACAGAAACGCAAAAGTGCAGTTTCAGCTTTCCTTATTAATTGATTGACTTGGTTTAAAACGTTTCCTTCAGTCCTCTCTCTCTCTCTCTCTCTCTCTCTCTCTCTCTCTCTCTCTCTTACACAGATTGCACGAGGAAATGAGAGGAAAAGTAACCATGGCCAAGAAGAGAGCTTCTTCAGCATCCATGAGCCGGCTTTTGAGCTTCGTTTCAAGGCTATTCATCGTTCTCAGCATCTTGCTATGTCTATTGGCTTTCCTTAGACTAATCCATTCTCAGTCCAAGGACCAACCACCAGTCTTTGCATCCCCAACAAGGTTTCCCGCTGTTATTCATGATAATCAGTTTGAAGGCCCTCCAAAAGTTGCTTTCCTCTTCCTTGCCCGCCGGGATCTTCCTCTTGATTTTCTTTGGAACACCTTCTTCAAGGTTTGTTTGATAATCTTACATCCATTTAAAATGGTTGGATCAGGACCGAATAAGAAAACAAATAACAAGAATGAGAGTTCATAGATCATAACCAAAACATGAAGAGAGAGAGAGAGAGAGAGAGAGAGAGGGGTTTTGAATCTTTTGATATGTTTTGTTGTGACCCTTGCAGAATGGTGATGCGGCAAATTTCTCGATTTATATCCATTCGGAGCCTGGTTTTGTGTTTGATGAACCAACCACAAGGTCTGCTTTCTTTCATGATCGACAGTTGAACAACAGCATTCAGGTGCACTTTTAGCTTCTTCAAGTACTTCTACAATTACAGATTAATTTGTTCGTATCTTACGCTGTTTTTAACATTGACAGAAAAATTTGTTTCAGGTAGGGTGGGGGGAATCGAGCATGATAGAAGCAGAGCGCATACTACTCCAAGAAGCTCTGCGCGATCCAGCCAATCAAAGATTTGTCCTCCTTTCAGACAGGTAGCTCTTCACCTCTTTCGTATTGACCTCTTCTAACCACATTGCAAGCAAGGTTTCTAAATTTTCGTGTAAAAAAACCACTGAATCATGTTACTAATTCTTTTCATCTTCTTATTGCACAGCTGTGTACCTCTATACAACTTCAGTTACATTTACAACTACACAATCTCTTCTCCGAAAAGCTTTGTAGACAGGTATATATGGTATCTGCATAACGCAAATGGATTTGTTTTGAAATACCTTTAAACTCGTGTTTCCTGCACATCGAAGAAACAGTGAAGCTGAAATTTTTCTAGTCTGTGCGTTATAGCTTTGTCGATGGTCATGCATTTCGTTATGATCCGAAGATGGCACCTACCATACCTAAGGAAAAATGGCGTAAAGGATCCCAGGTCTTACATCTGTTATCATCCTTGTATATTTGTTAAATTGAGAAAAAATTATTAAAAAAAAAATAGTTTAGGAATTTTTCTTTTCAACATATTAATTCTTCCTACATTGAGGTAATGTCAACTTGATCGCAGTGGATAGCTTTGGTGAGAAGACATGCAGAAATCATCGTCAATGACAAGACCGTCTTTCCTGTCTTCAGGAAACTCTGTAAGGTATGCAGGGAGGCATTTTCAAGTCCTATTTCCATTTTCCAGAACATTTTGAAGAGTTTTGAAGACTGTCACTTTACAGTGATCTGTAAATTGTTTATATCTTGCAATGTTGCTCGGTTTTCAGCGATGGCCGCCTGGAGATTTAAAATGGAGGAGGAAACTTCTTGTGAGTTAATTCCATCCTTTTTAAGCTTTACTTGAGAAAGAAGAAAAACGTTTAGCCATTTTCTGACCTTCTAAGAGTATGTATATGCATGTGTTTGTTTTTCACAGGCATTCAATTTCGATATCAAGTATATATTGCAGACATTTGAGCAAAAACGCAATTGTATCCCCGATGAACATTATGTCCAGACACTACTTGCAGTAAGCCGATGTTTTTCAATCTTTTTTATGTTAAAATTTTAAATTTGAGCTGATTTCGGAATGTCTATTGGCGAGTTTTTCATTCGAACTCTTGATGATTTGTGTATTGTAATAAGATAAGTGGACTCGAGGACGAACTTGAACGAAGAGCACTGACCTACACATCATGGAATCAGTCAGCGGTAGGAAGTAAAAAGAGATCTTGGCACCCTATAAAGTTTGATTTTGCAGATGCAGGGCCTCAAAAGATCAGGGAAATTAAGGTGAGTTCTTATATCGAGGTTTTTCTCCGGTGCTTCACTTCTCAAGTGCAAATAACGGTAATGTACTCCCCGGATACCCTAGCTACCACTCCGAGGGGAGCAATGTACTAGTCGGACAATGTGACAGTGCGTCTGCACAAAGTGCAGCGCCGAACTGTGGAAACCGCTTACGTAGAAACAATATGACACTCAAAACAAGTCTCTAACACTGATTTCACCTTGTTCTACAGGATATCGATCATGTATACGACGAGTCCGAGGGCCAAACAGAGTTCTGCCGCGCAAATTCCAAAGTCGCTCCTTGCTACTTGTTTGCAAGAAAATTCACTCTTGGAGCTGCTGTGCGGATTATGAGAGAAGGTGTGGTTGGTCCTTATGATGTTCCTTCAAAACCAAATATATATTAGGCCTCTGGAAAGGAAAGAGAGATGGAAACGAACAACGCTTGCAGCATAAGCAGTTGCCAATATGACTGTGGTTGTACAAGGCAAAACAGAAACAGCAGGCAACCAAACCGAAAAATTGGAAACTTTTTTCTATTAGTGTTATAAATAGGAAAAGTTAGAGAGATAACCTCCACTTCCGTGACAAAACAAAAGTGATTGCTCTTTTTGAAAACTTCACATAATAACAAACTACTGTGGCCTTTTTGAAAACTTCACATAATAACAAATACATTACTATTGGCATTCATTCTCACAATTTTGCAACACTAAGTGATATATTTTGTTATTAAGCTCCAGTTGTTAACTTTAAGTTTTGGTTAACACTATTAGTACAATAGAATCCCAAATTTAGGGTTCCCATTGGAGCAAATATGCCTTTAAATGATCTTGATAAGTTACGGTGTGATCTTTATTTTAAAAGTATCTGTTAGAGATGTTCTATGTAGTTTTTACTGGATGTGTTTGACGTTGTAGTGCAACAACTGCATTGAATTACTCTTTTTACAATCACAAATTACACACACACACTAACCTTAGCTAAATTCGTTGAATCACTCTACTTGTAACTATCACTACATTCGTGATGTGTTCTTGCTTTGTTTGTAATTGCACATGCTTCACGTTTGTGAACTATCTAATTTTATAATCGGGACATCCATAATCTATTTCATACTATTATTAAGAGAAGTGTGTTTGTCAACCCCTTTCTTAAAATACCAATCTTATTCCTAATTTTTCTACATTATCTTTGATTGCAATAAAAATATTATAAAATAAGGATAAAACATTAAGTATGTATATATATAAAAAAAAATTAAAGTAAAATAATATCACTCTTGTTGTGAAATTGGTGTGAATGCTCATGTATAAATTGGGTGATGTCTCTAGAATATTTGAAGATGTTTTCTCTCATATTCAAGCGGAGGCGCTGTCAATTAGAGTTGGGTTTGAGACTGCGGTTGAATGAGGCTTAAATATGATTGACTTTAAGAGTAATTCGCTTCAGATTGTTTTAGCGTTGCAAGACTCTTCTACTAATATGTCGCACATGGGACCTATTATAGAAGATGTAAAGCACCTGCTGTCTACGGTTGCTAAAGCTTGTGTTGCCCACATCCATCGCCAAGCTAACTCGGTTGCCCATCGATTAGCTCGTTTTGCTCTCCATTGTGGTAATGATTGTAGTTAGTTAGATGTTCCGCCATCTATAATCTATGACTTTCTTAAGGAAGATGTTCATGTACCTTGTACTAATTAGCCTCTTCACGACTTCATTGAAATATATGTCGTCATTTCTTAAAAAAAATGCATGAAAAAGCAAAGAAGCAAACAGTCACATTTGACTATGGTGACATCATTTAAAGGCTTTATGTACATTTGACTATGGCGGCACCATTTAAAGGCTTTAGGTACACTAGTAATAGGAAGATGAAATAGTAAATTGGATTAGGACTTTCACTTCATGTCATTTACTCCTTACGAGTGTAAAACTTTCTTATATAAAGGGACTCTTATAAATGTAAAGAATACCAATTTTCCTACTATTTCAATAAACAATCTTATATAAAGGGACTCTTATAAATGTAAAGAACACCAATTTTCTACTAGTTCAATAAACAATTGAACGTTTGTCCCGAAAAAGTTATACTCCTGCACTCACTGTAAATTCTAATCTTAACAAAAGATTCTCTCACCTTCTACTCTAATCATACTCTCTAATTTAGAAGGAGGATTCTCTCCCCTCCTACTTCTCTCTCCTCCCATCCCCTCCTTTTAATCTAACCCATTCAAAAAAATATATATATCTAATGACTTGAAGTTGTGCCACATAGTTGATGAGCGTTATTTTTTTATTGCTTTTATTCAAACCCAATTGAATAACAGATCCTTAACAACTTTTTCCATCAAATGGTTGAACCTTTCAACACCAATGGAGATAGAAGATGGCCAACCATGGCTGGTATGTGGAAGAAGAGAAGGGTAAGCAGTGTTGTGATCAGAAGTGGATAAGAAGAAGGATTGTTAAACAAACGCAATAAAATTCGACAAAAGAAAATAACTATAAAAAAATACGACTCATTGAAAATGTGGCACAACTCTAAACCATTAGCAATTCCACTCATGGAGCTCTTCCCCCTGGCAATCCACTATTCAATCCACCATATTAAACAGTAACTGCCTTAAATGAATAGTAACTACCATTAATGAACAGTAATTGCCATTTAGAGCAATTCCACCCATGGAGCCCTTCCCCCTGGCAATTCACTATTCAATCCACCATATTAAACAGTAACTGCCTTAAATGAATAGTAACTACCATTAATGAACAGTAATTGCCATTTACATCTCCACCCTTGGAACCCTCTCTCTTGGCAATAAGCAATTAAAATAATAGTTTTTTTGTTTGTTTAAATAATAAAAAACCCTCTCTCTCTCTCTCTCTCTCTCTCTCTCTCTCTCTCTCTCTCTCTCTCTGACACAAAAAAAATAAAAAATTGCAAAACCCTCTGGCCACAGGCCCTTCGACTCCCCACCCCCCCTTCGCTCGGGCTCCCACCCTCACTCGGGCCATTCCCCGCTGGAGCTGCTCCCACCGGCCCTCAGGCCCTTTCTCCTCCCCTGTCGCCCGAGCAACCAACATCCGCTGGAGTTGCTCTTAGATATCTTTTAAGCGGTCTAGATTAAAGAAACGGATGAGAGGGAAAGAGTCCTAAACAAAAGGTCCATACAAAAGGTCCATATCGTATGCACGAGAAGCAGCGTATCATACCTCTCAAAACCAGCATAAATTTCAAACGCATCAAATGGAGGGAAACCAGTTCGTCCCTCATCTCAAACGCTCCCCCCACTCTCATAAACATTCCCAATTCAAAACCCTAATTTCCCAATTCGATTTTCCCGATTGCAATGGCCGACACTCTGAGCCCTAATCCGGCAACCCAAAAGCAGAGGCTCCCAATAGCCGCTCGTCTCCAGTCTCCAACGAGCCCCTTCTTCCTCGGCTCCAACGACGACCACCGCGAGCGTGCGCAGGCTCGCGCAGCACGCGCCGCGGCGATAAGAAGAAAGTCCATTGCGCTCAATCTGCCGCCACAGCAGGGCGACCCCGATCCCGGCCTCGGCAAGGAGCAGATCCTCGAGCTGTTCCAGAATTGCATCAAACTTGCCAGTGAAAATGTCAGTTTAGATTTTTCTAGTAATTCAAAATTTTGTAATTAATTTTTTTTGAACAAAAAGTTTAAAATTTTCTAGTAATTTATTTGTCAAATTAGTGAGCCCTTTTTACTGTATTAAATTTTTATTTAAATGGTCGATATTTATCTGTTTTGTGCAGAAAATTAATCAGAAAAATACATGGGAGCTGAATTTGATAGACCATTTAACGGATATTATTAAGGTTGAAGAGGAAAACGATGCAGAGACGAATTTTCAAAAGGTAAATTGCGCATTTGATACTATGACATTTCGGTAATCGAAATCTCTCAAGACCAAGATTTGGTAAAAACACTTTTGAAGTGAGTGGCCATAAGTTCACATATTCAATTGGATACGCTATGCTTGCTTAAATACGTATCACTTCTCTACCTGTGCAGGCAAGCTGCACTCTTGAAGCTGGAGTCAAAATTTACTCAATGAGGGTGGATTCAGTACACTCTGAGGCATATAAGGTCCTTGGTGGGATGAATAGAGCAGGCCAAGAAGACGAACAAGGTTGGGTTTGCTGTCTGCTATAACTTTGCCTTTTCGTTTTATACTCAAGTGTTTACGCTTGCAAGCAAAAAAGAAGTATATTGATTTCAAAATAGTATTGTACTTGATTCCGAACGAGGACAAGCTAAATTTTGTGAAAGTTACGTTATTGGAATATTAGTCATTCTACTGTTTCAAGGTAGAGAAAATTGATAGTGTTGATGTATTAACCTTTGCTTTTTATAACCTATATAATGAATTAGACAACATATAATCAATGGCCTTTTCTGGCAGAAGCAATGTGATTTTTTTATGGTTTGTTGAAATGATGACTACGTGGAATAATTATCTTTAAGCAGCTCATCTCATCTGTAATAGTAATTTCTTTCACATTGGGTTTGTGCTTCATTGATCTTGTTATTATCTTGATACTGTTGTAATTTTAGATACCAGTGCAGAGGATGCCAATGCTGACAATGGAAAAGATGCGGCTAATTCCAAGCATGAGACGCAGAAAAAGGTTTACTATTCTCTTGAGCACTACAATGATTTACTGAACTCCGGTATGCTAAATGCTGACATACATCCATACATGCAGATATCTCCCTTATCAACGCTGGAATCATCTTTTGAGGCTCTAAATGTGAAAAAGTTTGACGGTCATCACTCATCCTGAGCTATCCTTATTACTAGTTTTATAATGTGAGATGCAAGGCCAAGTTTGTAATACAATTTTGTTTGTATTTTCAGTTGCATTTGCAGTTGATCCCCTCTATCATCAGACGTCTGCACAATTTGATGAAGGTGGGGCCAAGGGTCTTTTAATGAATAATCTTGGAGTGTATGCTGGATGCAGAGTGCTCTTTGATTCTTCCGAAGTACCAGGGAAGTGCATAGCATCTGATAATCAACTCGATAAATCAGATACCATTGATCTTTCTTTTGCTAGTGGTGAGTTGAGTTTTCTGTATTCTATTGAGTTCTTTGTAAATTTCAGCTTCCCATTTTTTTCCAAATAAGAATGATGTGGTTTACTAGCATTAACTTTTCATTGGTCTTTTATAGAATATGTAGAACAGATGGTATTGAACATGCGAATCAAAGATGAAATTTCACCAACTCTCAGGAGTTTAGTTGATCGATTTGATGAGGATAACAGAAGGCCACCAGATATATATACATGTGATCAAGAATCAGCAGAGCAAGTTGATGCTGCCTATAACAATGAAGCTGATTTTGATTGTGATGTATCTGAGAATTGCGGGAACTGGGATTATGATCATGATGACCAAACAAGTGTCGTGGAGGAGGGCCTTAACTGTGAAAGTTCAACTCTCCCTAGTTATCATGAGGTTTTGGAACATACTATTCTTATAAAGTTTGAATTGTATATATTTTTTCCACCGGTCTTTTTTTGTTTTATGAATAATTGAACAATGAATTCATTCGCTGATAATTTTTTCAACTTTTGTAGGAAAATGAACCGGGTGCCTACCATGAACTTGATACGAATGAGAGACTTGAGAAAATTGATGGGTATTTGTTCTTAAGTCTTGGATTTACTTCAAAACAAAATGCTTGGGCAGGTCCTGATCATTGGAAGTATCGAAAAACTAAAGGTCAGATGCAATGATCATGTCATCAACTAATATGTGTATGAGTATTTATTGTGGTT